CGCAGCTGCCTTCTGGTTTGCTAATGCCTTAGGTGGTGGGAAATCAACTCACGAGTCTCCAAGCTCTAGAATTGTCTGCAAGGTTAGAATTTGGAGTTCTGGTGCAAGACCTAGGAACAATGTGTGTGTGTGTGTGTGTGTGTGTGTGCGCGCGCATATGTACACACACACACACTGTTTAATTGTCACCTGCAAAGTATTGAATTTGAAATAGTCTGGCCTAAAGAGGTGGTTGCAGTAAGCCTCAAATGTCCCTCTCAAAGTCCTCCCTCACCCCCCGTTGAAAGGCCCCTTCTAGGACAGCTATTTTCATTTTGGGGTTTATTTAGTTGTTTATTATCTGTTTTTCCTCACTGGAGTGAGGAAAGAATTTTTGTCTTAGTCACCACATCTCTCATGCTTAGAACAGGTGCCTGGACTGTGGCGGGTGATCTGTAAATGTTTGTGGAAAGGACAGCTAATACTGGGGGCAGCGGAGGGACCAGATACGTGTCCGGCGCTTGCTAAGTGCTTTATAAACACGACCTCATTTAGTTCACAGCCCAGGGCAGCCCAGCACGGCCATACTGCCCTCCAGCAGGCATCCTCCTCTGAGCTCCACCCCCATCTTGAGAGACAAACCCATCTTTCTTTTCCATGTCTTAGGACTTGGGCCACGAAGATTGGACAGGACAGAGGGGAAGAAACAAGGAAAATCAGATTGCAAAGGTTCTGTGCATCTCGAACTGGGCCTCGTTTTCTGCTTCCTAAAAATATGAGAAGGTTGGATTAGCTCAGACTTCTCCAAGAGCAGCAGAGTTACCGGGTCTCTTGAAAATGCAGAGTCCTGGGCCCCGCCTGGTGCTGGGAGTTGGGACAGAGGCGCGGGGGGAGCAGTGGCTGCCAGGACTGGATTGCTGCGCTGGCCCGCTCTCTTTTTGCTTTGACAGTTTTTCTGCTCGAGGGAGAGCTGGGGGGCCAGGGAGAGGCTGGGTGCAGGTTAAGGTGGGGTGGGGGAGTGGGAGGGTCCCAGGAGCAAGAGGGAAGGGCCATGGTAGGTGGGAAGTGCTGCTTCTAAATGGCTTCCGTGGTCTGCCCGGAGGAGGCTCCTTCAAAGGGCTTGGCTTTGGCACTGAATCTAAATTAGGCCCGAGACTCTCAGGCAGGCAGGCGCTGGAGGCTGGTCGGCTTCTCCGGCTTCTCCCTCTGCCAGCCACAGACAACGCCCCTGGTCGCATGGGCTGACCCTGTTGTCTCTCTCAGCTGAACAGAAGGCCGGCAGGCGGGCAGGGGAGTGTGTGTGTCTGCGTGTGAGCTGGGGCCCAGATAGAGGGTGGGGTCCAAGCCCATTTGATCTTCCAGCCTGCTTGGGAGCAGGTAATTCACCTGGCCTCACACTAGCTGGTGCCCTTCCTACCTTCTGCAGCTGGCGTTGGGGGTGGGGCGGGGTGGGGAGGAGGCTGTTTGCCTTGGCTCCCTCCGCTGGCTGTGCCCCAAGCTGCCTTCTTGCCACGCCCTCGCCCTGCTAGGAACCCCAGGCCTGAGATCTGGGGCAGCTTCTTCAGAGTGCCAGGCCTCTTTTTCCAGCTCTGAGGGGAGCTGCCCACCTGAGGAGACTTCTAGAACCTGCACCCAGGAAAACCCTCACTCTGCGCTCACTCTCCCACACCAAGAGGAGCCTTTGTCCCCAAGCAGGTGCCCAGGCAAGTCTCCACTCAGGGCACTGCGTCCCGGGGCTGGCCATAGGCTGAATTTCCTCACCCTTCACCCACCCCCAGCCCTGGAAGGGACCCATCAGCCCACACGGCCCCAGGCAGTGCCAGCGTGAGACTAGGGTACCATTTCCTGTGACCCAGCCCAGGGGATAATGCAAAGCCACACACTCCGCCAAGGGCAGGCAGCTCTCCACCCACCCATTGTCATCCTCAAAAATGTCCTGCACTGCTTTCCCCTGGGTATGCGTGCTGCTCCGTGCTGCCACACTGAAGGCATGGTGATGACCACAGCTACAGCTCATTAAGTACCCATTATTTGCTGGCTGCTCTGCTGGGTGCAATTACACCTCCCAGTAACCCCAGTGAGGTATTATTAGCCCCATTGAAAAGATAAAGAACCTGAGGTTTTAGGTCGTTAAAGACCTATTTCAACAATCCAGGTTTCCTTGGCAGCTGAGGCCTTTGCTCTTTTGACTATACATACAGTTTCTCGGCCTCTGCACTGTTGACATTTGGGGCCAGACAAGTCTTTATTGTAGATGGCCGCCCTGTGCTTAGTAGGCTATTTAGCAGCATCCCTGGCCCCCACTTACTAGATGCCAGTAGCAAGCTTCTAGTCATGATGACCAAAAAGTGCCTCCAGACATGGCCAGTATCCCCTGGGGGCCACTGCCCTGGTTGAGAACCTCTGCTCTGTGACCTGCACTGAGTGAAGAGCAGACAGGAACTGAAAACAGTCCCGAGAAGCTCCTTGGTGGGCTGAGAGAGAGAGAGAGGCTCAGCTCTACTTGTACTAGCGGTATTGACCTGTAGCCATTTACTTAATTTTTCTAAGCCTCAGCTTCCTCATCTGGAAACGAGGGATAAAAATAGTGCCGACCTCTGGGGATTGGTAGTTAGTACAGCATTTAGCTCAGTGCCTGGCTCATAGTCAGCACTTAATGAGTTAGCTGTGGTATTATCAAATCCAGGGGCTCTTAGTGAGTCCTGGGCACCCAGTGACCCAATTACTAGAAGCATGTGCAGGAATGGACTTTCTGCTTAGAATACAGTGGACTCTGTAGGAGGCTGTTTGTGCAGGGGGTGGGGGAGGACTATCTCAGGTGGTCCTCTTGGTGGAGGAGGTGGGAAAAGCATGCAGGAGAGAACTTCAGGGAGAAGGGGATAGTCCTTCAGGCATTTTACCAGTATTTATTGAGCACCTACTGTGTGCTTCTCCCCAGTCTCTATCCTGGGCTCTCCCCAAGGGAGCCTTCGGTGGAGAGGCCTGGGTTTGTTTCCATAAGTTGTCTCTTTTGCATTGTAGGCTGAGTCCAGGGCATCCGCTGGGCCCGATTGGGGTCTGCCTACTCCACCATGGCTGGCAGCTGCAGCCACCTCTCCAGTGAGCAAGGAAGTCTTGGCACGAATGCAACATGCCATTTGGTACTGGGCCTTTGGTCCCCTCTCCTGGGGAGGTTAATTGCATCATTACTCCTTACACAGCCTGGGAGACCCCCACCTTGGCTTTCCTCTGCTGCCTCTCCTGCCAGCCCCTGGACAGAGTTAGAATCAAATGTCATAAACCCCCTCAATTTACAGGTGAGAGCCAGGACCAGAGATGGGCAGTGACCAGCCTGAGGTCACAGGTGGTTATCAGCAGTAGAGGGTGGACTTTAGCTCTCTGGATCACTAGTTCTGGGGGTGACAGAACCCTCTAGGGAAGTGGCTTGTCTTGATCTTAGCTGTTCTGTTCTTGGGTTGGGTCCTGTGTCCACATTTGGAGCCCACACAAGGTGTGGTCTCTCGCCTCGGGTTGGAAGAAGCAGCATAGGGTGGAGAGGGGGGAGGACAGCGAGGGGCGGTTAAGCCAACTCCCCTACGCCTCTCACACATGCAGCCCCTGGCTCTCTGGCTGCACAGCTGTGGACCCTGAAGGAAAGACCCCCAACTCCCAGCCAAGCTTATTGCTAGGCCCCCAACCTTCCCTCCCTCGAATCTCTCGATAGCCCTAGACACCCAGCCAGGATGATAAGCTCCATGTTCAAGTGAAGAAACTGAGCTCGGGGGTTTCAAGGAATTCATTTTAAAAGCAGTTATGCCCCTGCTTCACCCTGGGTTCACTGGCTCCGAGGTTGACTCGGGTGGCCAGAGCTGGAACCCTTGGAGGAGGTGTTCCCTGATGCCACTAGAGGTGTCAAGGAAATGAAGTTTTGGGGGAAGCTAGAAACTGATCCATCACCAGGCTCCTAGCAGAGCTTTTAGGGAGAGCCCAATGGGGCTGAGCTTGAGGTGAGATGACCTTCAGATGGCCTCCCTCCCTGGGAGGCACCTGCGCTAAGCCTCCTGGAACTCCAGTCCTCGGAGTGCTCACTGAGCCAACTAGAGCGGGAGCTCCTCCCTTCTTAATCCAGGGAAACTGAGGCACACAGTTATTAATCCCAAGGTTAAACGGTAATTAGCCAGGTCATCCGATGCGCTCCCCAGGGCTCCTTCCACGAGACCGTGCCGTCCTGTGTGTGTTTGTACAGGTGTGCGTGTTCGCATGCGCGTGAGTTCAGGTGTGCAGCAGCATCTCACACGTTTTCTTGCCCCGAGAAGCTGGGTGTCCGGATCATGCTTCTCAGCTTCTCATCTGTCCTCACCTCTTTCTCCAGACCTCTGGCATCAGTCCCTCAGGTCTCCCTGGACTGTGAGGGATGTGGCCGCGTCCTTCCTACTGGGCTGCGCTCATGTCATTGTGGGACCTGTGGTTTCCCCGGAGGAAGCCCGGCTCCAAGTGGGGCCTGTTAAAGTGCTTATTAAGTTTCAAGTGTTTCTGGTAACAAGCCAGAGGAGCTCTAAAAATAGGGTTCGGTAGGGCATGGGGCATGGGTACGCTTTCAGGTTTCCCGCTGCATCTGAGGATTCCCTTCTCCCGTCTTTGAGTGAGAGACTAAATAAACATCGTTAGTACTTGCGGCCTCCTGAGACCATCCAACTCTGCGAGGAGGATTTATTAGACACCTCTCGTACCCATGAGATTGGGAGTACAGGCTCTGGCACCCAAAAGTTGGGTTTTCATGCAGATTCTGCTGATAATTGGCTGTAGGGCTCCAAGAAAGGGAGTCGCCCCTTTGAGCTTCCGTTTTCTCATCTCTGATAATTAGATTCCCCATGACAAATGCTGGCTGTCATTAGCTGTCAGGTATGGAGCCTGTCAGGTTGTGGAGCCTCCCAGAACCTGTTGTATGATGGGGGAAATGGATGTACACAGTCAAATCTCAGAGCAAGCTGGGGTTCCTACTGGGAGGCAGAGACGCAGCATCTGAGCTGGGTCATCGGCAAGTTTTGGCCCTCAGGCCTTTGTGCTCCTGGAGTCTGCCTCCTGCCCACCCCCAGCCTGGCCGTTCATCTGTCTGTGGCCGGAGGAGGCCCTGCAGGAATTTTCCATCGGAGGGAGTGTCTGTGTCGGGGGGAAGAGGGCCAGGGCTGGGAAGCTCTTCCTCCAAGTTCACTTGGTTCCACGGTGTCTACCTGGCAGGGAGACCCCATCCCCGAGGAGCTCTACGAGATGCTGAGTGACCACTCTATCCGCTCCTTCGATGACCTCCAGCGCCTGCTGCACGGAGACTCCGTAGGTAAATTGAATCCTTGTCCGGTGCTCTGGGTCCCCGGGAGCTGTAGGCCAGGGCAGGCCCCGCTTCCTTGACAGCCAGAGAATCAGAGGCCTGTGGCAGCCCTGGGAGGACTGGGCCACGCCTGTCTGGAGCAGGGCTGAGTGGGCGGACAGGTTGGTACCTAGGATGTGGGGTGTGGCAGGAGAAGCACCCACATGTGGCTCTGGCTCGGTGCAGAGGGTGGGGCGCTGGGAGGAGGTACCCAGGACATCTGCCCAATGAGGATCCAGGTGTGGACTCAGCCAGGGGGCTGGTGCTAGAGGAGGCGCCTCCCTGCCCCTCTGGCCGAGGGCCTGCTCTACAAGGTCTCTTGGGGACACCTGGCCTGGACCAGCGGGCAGCCCTGCCCGTGCCCGAGAGCAGACTCAGTGAATGGGCACGTGCTTGGTGGCACACACGTGGCAGGGCTGGCGGGCTGGGTCGGGAATGTATTTATAAATGCTGTCTTCAGAGCAAATTCCGTTCTATTCTAACCTCTAGCCTATTCCCTGGAGCTCTGGTCAGCACCCCCCCTGCACCCCCAGCTCCCCTTCCCTCTGGGGTTTTGTCTCTTTGTCACTTTGTAATCCTTGCCCAGACTGCTATCTACGGGGGACAGCATTTCCTGCCTTTGTTTCCTCTCCCCGTTGGGCCCCTGGCTCCCTCTCAAAAGCATTCCCGGGCCCTTTCAAACTCTCCTGTGCCTGGGGCTGGTGAGGCAGGCCGGAGGGGGCCCCAGCTGGGCCCACCTATTGTTCACCAGGCCCCCCACCCGACGTCTCCCACACCCCCACCCCATGCCAGACTGGCCAGCCCTGGCCAACACAATGGGGCAACTTCCAAATTTAGCTTTTCTGCTGTTTCTTTCCAAGGTCCTTCGCCCCCGCCCTCGGACAGCCCCTCCACACCCCGGGTGGGGGTCGGGATCAGAGACAGGTTTTCAATAGCGGCCTGTTTCGAGGCAACCATGTGGCTATTTTTTCCTAATCGACTTAACCTTTCCACAAAACACATCTTTTCCCCATCTCCTCCCCACCAGGGACATTCCAGAGATGGCAGAGAGAAAGGAAGGGAGCGAGAGGGACAGACAGACAGTGCTGACGTGGGACAGGAGGCTAGACGGAAACGTCCCACTTAGAGGAAAGTCTGCTCCAAACAGGACCCCTTGAGAGCCCACGGGGTTGAGCTGAAGCTTTGCCATTGGCAGGGCCAGTGGCATGGGGACAAGAGCGGGTCCCAGACAGCCCTCTGTTTGTTTGCTGGCTTGCAGCCATCAGCTAGAAGAGTCTGCCCACCATTCAACGTCAAGCTCAGAGTCCTCCTGTCCATCCCTTGGCTCTGGCGGCCGGCTTCCAGCCACCTCTCTAGAGACAAGGATGTCTCCCAGGAGTGCTGATGGTGCTGAGATCAGGGCCTCCCAGGCTGGGCAAGGGAGCTGTAGTTGTGACCTTAGGAATAAATGGACAGCTTAGGGCGGCCATGGGGCTAAAGGTTAGAGGGAGAGAGACAGAAGCACAATGAGAGGCTGGGAGATGGAGAGAGACCAAGACCTAGAAGCGCCCCTCCCCACTCCAGCAAGGGCTCCCCCATCCCAGTAGCCCTGGCTCCTCACCCCTCTCAGCCTTCGGCCCCCACTCCCGCTCCTCTCCCTCCTGCCCTCTCTCCCGCCCAACTGGGCCATTGTCAGGGGCTCCAGAGGGGCTGGGTCCAGGGCATGCCGGTCCCCCCCTGGGGATTCTGGGAATTTCTCCATTCAGCACTTCCTATGGGAACGCTGGGTGGAGGGGCATTGGAAAGTGGCCTCGGAGCTCTGGGTCCTTGCCCTGCCCCGGAGGCCAAGAAGGGTTCGCTTACAGTAGCGAGAGAGAAGGGTTATTTTTAACTCCATTGACATGAGTTCTGTCTAAAAAATGTGACGGAAGAGCCAAGAGTGGGGCTGAAGGCCCCCTAAGAACACAACCGGGAACCCACCACCTCCTGAGCCTTGTGGCCACCCTGGGGGTTGCCTGGAGAGCCCCCTCTTTAGAGCTAGGACTTTGGGTTTACAGGGAGTTGGACTGGACGGGGAGTCTTCTCTGGAGTGGGGTCCCTCCTGGTGAGGGGCAAGAGGCTGTCCCTGCCACCTGCCCCAGGTCCTCCATCAGAGCCCACACCCCAGCAGTTATCAGAGTGTGTCTGACTGTGCCTTCTCTTGCAGATGAAGACGGGGCCGAATTGGACCTGAATTTGACCCGGTCCCATTCTGGAGGCAAGCCAGAGAGCTTATCTCGAGGGAGAAGGAGCCTAGGTAAGAACGAGGGTGAGAATGGGGTCGCCTCAAAGGTGGGGGCCCGGGGAGGAGAACTGGGGCATGCAGCTGCTCGAGGCTGTGAGGGAGGGCCTCGTTTGTCCCACACGCAGGGCTGGGTTGAGCTAAGAGAGAATAGCACCCTTAAATAACCCTATATTGAGTTGAGTCATCTTGCCCCACCCCCAAAACACACTTTTCCCTAAATATAGTGTTTTTAACTTCATTTGTTTATTACTTCAATTCTAGAGATAGCTATTATTAACCCTATTTTATAGAGTTGGAAACTGGAGCCCAGAGAGGGTTAAAGAAGTGGCTGTGGTCACACAGCTAGCAAGTGACAGAGCTGGGGTCCCAACGGCTCTTCTCGGTTGGACCCAGTATCATGCTGGCTGCATGTCCCTGCTGTGGCTAAGGGCTGCGGCCTGGGACAGCCGGCGTGGAACGGAGCCTGGGACCTGCCTCCTGCTCTATTGCAAAGGCCAAAAGAAGAATGTAGATCACTAGGTCCCACGAAGGCTTCCCAGGGGCGGCGAGTGCTCACTCCAGGCTCCTCCTCCTACCCGCCCACCTTCAGTCGCCCCAACACTGTAGACCGTGGCTGCGGGGGCCTCCAGATAACAGTTGGGAGCTTGAGTTCCCATTTTCGCTCTATCAATTTGGGCAGCTAGTTTAGCTCTCAGAGCCCTGGTTTCTCTCTACGTGAATAATGAATGACAAACCCCAGCATTGACTGTACGCTTGCTGTAGGCTAGCATCGTTCCTTCGGTCTGCAAGTGCTGTGTCGTTGCTGTTATTACGTCATTTCATAGATGAGGAAACTGTGGCTTCGAGAGAAGCCATGGTGTCAGGGTAGATTACAGTGTAAAATGGCCAAGTAATGTGGTTACAAGATACTACCTGAGTAGGGGCCGCACCTCGGGCAAAGCCGTAAAGGAGTGAAATCCAGTGCAGTGGGCGGGGCCTGGCGGCAGGGATCTATGCCACACATGCCGGCGCTGTCTGAATGACCTCGCTTGATCCTGACAACGGTTCTTGGCTGTAGATCTCATCATCCCCATTCGCACATGGGGAAACCGAGGCTTAGAACGTATCGGCCACCTGCCCAAGTCCCACGGCTGCTAACAGCCAGGACTCGAAACCTCCCCCAGGGTGGAAGGGAGAGGGACTCGGCCAGCCAGTTTGGAGAGAGAGCCGCCGGAGAGGTGTTCTGCTGGGCCTTCCTGCCAAGCGTGGGCTCTGGGCAGGCCCTCCGTCCTGAGAAAAGTGCCCTCTCCCTTCAGATTCCCCGACGGTCGCCGAGCCAGCCATGATCGCCGAGTGCAAGACGCGCACCGAGGTGTTTGAGATCTCCCGGCGCCTCGTCGACCGCACCAACGCCAACTTCCTGGTGTGGCCGCCCTGCGTGGAGGTGCAGCGCTGCTCCGGCTGCTGCAGCAATCGCAACGTGCAGTGCCGCCCCACCCAGGTGCAGCTGCGCCACGTCCAGGTGCGCAGGCCCCTTGCCCCCCGGGCTGGCCCACCCCGCTGGCGCTCGTGACTCACTGACCGGGCTTCCAAATGGGTCAAAAGGCACTCCTGGCAGGCTGCAGGGCCGTGTCCAGAGAGCCGTCTCAGGAAGCTCTCCAGACAGGTGTGCTGAGGCCGCCCAACAGTCTGAGTATGGGACATGAAGTAAAGGGTGCCGCCTCGTCCTCTACAGGGGTAAAATTCCAAAATGTCTCTTAAAGAGACACGTCTACAAACATATTAGACACTCGAAACGTTCCGGGCGGCTGCTCGGATTCTGCCAGGGCTTCCCCTGCACTGCCCCCCACCCCCCGCCGTCCTGGCCTGTCAATTTTCTTTACTCTGCCGAGAGAAAGGCTCCCCTGCATCTGTGACACCTGCTCTTCTCCCTTTGACAAGCTTTGTCTTCAATAAGGAGGGTGCAGGGACCCTCCAGGCCATAGACACTGCAAGAGCTGGGGCAGCCCTTAGCACAGAGTCAGAATGCTGCATTCGGCCTCTTTTCTGGAAAGATCCGCTCTGACTCAAGGGAAATTTTCGAGTCGAGGCTGTCCTGGGGAGTTCCTGATCTCGTGCCAGGCAGAGCGACGTCAGAGAAGCCTCAGTTGGCTTCTAATTCACGTGGAAATGTTTCTACACCCCCTGGGCTAGGCTCACCCACACGCTGACTCCGGCTGGGCCGAGCTGCTGGGCCACTGGTGAGCCCCACTTTTGCTGAGTGCTCTGGCGGCTTTGCCACGCACCCCTCCCCTGCAGTCAGCCGTGGCCTTTCTTGCCCACCTTCCGTCCCAGGCCTGAGCCCTGTTCCCGAGGTTACGAGTATTATTCTCTACCACACCACACACTGTCTTGGTATCTCCTGTCCCCGACGCTTCCAGCTGTATGGATGGACACCTGACAGCTGACCTCCCCCTTCTTTACTCCCTCCTGGATAAAGCCTCCCCCCACTTCCTTCCAGACAACCATCTCCCCGCCTCTGCCATAGCCCCTGACCTTGGCTGGCGCTCCAGGAATGAGGACATCACAGGCCCCATGCTCCACCCGGAAATGCCTTTCTCCCTCTCTGGGAGTGCCGAAGTGGGGGGTGGGGGGCAGGGGACGGGTTGCAGCCAAGCTGGAGGCCAGGTCGGGAGGGCTTGTTTTGATGGAAAAGCTACCAGAAGGGCAGAGGGCAAGGTCCTGCTATTGTTTGGGCCACAGTGTCTGCCCTGCTGCTTTCCTCGTCCCAGGCTTTCGAGGAAAGATTCTCCACAAGGGACGCTGGGATGGGAAGACCAAGCAGGTGCCTCCCTCAGACCACACACTGCCTGTGTGGTCTTACAGAGGCACTTGGGTGGTTCTGTCCTCCAGGTGAGAAAGATCGAGATTGTGAGGAAGAAGCCGAGCTTTAAGAAGGCCACAGTGACTCTGGAGGACCACCTGGCATGCAAGTGTGAGACGGTGGTGGCCGCAAGACCTGTGACCCGAAGCCCAGGGAGTTCCCAGGAGCAGCGAGGTAATATCAGTTCAGGGTCTGCCTCTGATGGCCCAGCCCAGCAGTCTGCTTCTCCTGTGGCACCTGCTGGGGCGGAGGAGGGGGAGGGTAATTGGGTCAGGCATGCTCACCCCAGGTTAAATTTATCTGAAGGTTTCCATCCATCTCACTGAGGACAATCCAGGTTCCTCCCCCACCGGCGAGGCCCTATGTGAGTCCACAGTCCCTGGTTGGCCCTTTGGCCTTGCTGCCAACCAATCCCCTTCACTGTGCCACTCCAGCCAGCCTGGCCTTTTTGAGTAGCTGAATATGTTTCTGCTTCAGGACCTTTGCACATGCCACTCTTTCTGAAACTCGCTTCTCTCAGCTCTTTACAAGCTTACTTCTATTCATTTGGGTCTCAGCTCAGAAGTCGCCTCCTCCTAGAAGTCTGCCCTGACCACCCACCCCATCCAGAGGAGCCCCCATCCCAGATTTGTTACCACAGTTCCCTACTCTGTTGAAGGAGTGTATGACATGAGGAGGAACCAGGGCCTGAACGAGAGAAGACCTCACGTACATCGTCTTCAGATATTTGACAGCTTATCCTGGGGATGAGAAGTTGAACTAATTCCTGTAGCCTTGAGGGAGGAATTAGGAGCAATGAGGCAAAGCCAGCAGAGAGATTTTAACTCCAAAACCCAGTCAGGGGTCTGTGATGGAATTATCTGCCTCGGGATGTAGTGAGTTCCCTGTCACTGGAGGCGTGTAAGTAAAGGCTGGGCATCCATGCAGCAGGGATGTGACTGACAGGGTTCAAGCATCAGATGGGTAAGTGGAGTCAGAGTTCCGTTCCTATCCTTAGACTTCACAAATTCACATAGTTTGACTTAAAAGGGGCATAGTTTGACTTAACAGACTTGAAAGGGATCAAAAAAAAAAAAAAAAAGATCTGGTCCCATCGCTTCCTCCACATTTTATAGAGGAGTTGCCGGGCGGAGAAGCGGAGGTCTAGGCTGAAGTCACTCAGCCGGTCCCAGGTCTTGCAAAGTCTCCTCCTGCATTCTTTGGACTGCACCCTGCTGCCTTTTCTCCCTTCATTATCTGCAGTACGGATCAAATGAGAACCCTTAAGTTAATGCGATTAGATGAGCATTAAAAAGTCACACAAGTGACTGTTTCGATTTTCAGTGACTTTCTCCTGTTCGGCGACAGCCGTCTCACCGTCATTTCTTATTAACGAACCTTCTGAAGGCAGCGCCGTCTCTCAGCCTCTGTGTCTTGTTCTCAGAGCTGAGCTGAGGCCTGGATGCCCCGGGAAGGCCGATGGTTTGACAGCTTCAGACTGACGTGTTGTAAATTATTTATAGAACGAACCTGGAGAACGACTTTTCTCTTCAGGAAGAATTATATTCTTCTTCATGTTGAGAATGGGGTGGTTTTACATGCATTTGTTTCACACGATTTTCCAAACCACTTTCTTGGGAGGCACGTTCAACCGATTAGTATGTAGATAACGTCTTGCCATTTGGTTTTAGCATTTGGCTCTGTGTGACAGTACTTCTGGCGGCTGTCCACGAGCTGGGCTAAGGCTTAGTGGTGTGCCCCGTGTGATGTGGTGGTGGTCAATGTCAGACCTGTGGGCTCAGATCTCTGCTCTGTCACTTGTGAGCTATGTGACAACCTTGAGCTGGCTTGGGCATTGCCAGCCCAGCGTCCTGCTGGTGGCCCGGTCTCTGGATCAGAAACTCCAGGCCCTCCATGGCTCTCCTGGGTGCAAAGGCCCTGAGTCCCCGAATCACACAGATGGGCCCACTGCCTCACAGGGGTTTGTGTCTGCAAAGTGGGAGGTCAGGTGTTGACCCCAAAGAGTCAGGTGGGCCCGGGAAGCCTCCAGGAAGTGGTATGCCTTGGCCTTGGCAGAGAAAGCTTTCATTTTCTACCTTGGCCCAGGAGGAAGAGTTGCGAGCTAACCTGGACTGATACTCACAGGCACCAGGATTTACAGCGGGGGGGCCGGCAGTCTGGACTCTAGGGACTGACTCCTGGGTACGAATCTCTGGCTCGGTTTCCTCATCTGTCGCATGTAGATGCTTGTACCTGTTGTGAGCTTCGAACGTTGTCAGGTTCGTCAGTGCTAGCTAAGGGTTTCTAGCTATTTCCATGTATTATCTCCTACCCCTAGGAGGCCAGGCCTGCTGGCATCTCAGTTTCGAAGATGGAAATTGAGGCAAAGAGACTTTATATGACATGCCCCAAACCACATGACTCGCACGTGGGAGACCCAGGTTTGAAGGCAGGTGGTCTGGGCCACCGTCCGAGCGCTGGCCTGCCCCACCGTGCTGCTGCTCTAAGTGGAGAGGGCCAGGCAGACGACAGGCACGGCCGATGGAAGGGCCCAGCTCCGTGGTCTGGTTCCGGCCCGAAGCCAGCAGCTCCCTTGTCATATGACTGCAAGGGGCTGAGAGGTTGATGGGAGGAAAACTCGACAGGGGATCGAGCCAAGGAAATAAGCGAAAGTTTCTAACAGCCCCTGCCGTCCGCTGATCATGGCTTTCTCTAAACTCCGCAGCAGAGACGACAGCTGTTTCCTTCTGTCCCGAGTCTGTGGGCTGACAGGGCTCAGCTGGGTGGTTCTACTGCTGTCTCTTCTAGTTGGAATCCATCATCTGGAGGCCACACCAGCACAGCTGGGCCTCTGTCCCTCTCCCTGTGGTCCAGGGCCTCTTCTCCCCAGGCGGCCTCTCCCTGGCAGGGTAACCAGACTTCTTATGTGGTGGCACAGGGCTCCCCAAACTGCAAAGGTGGGAGCTACCAGGGCTTTTAAAGCCTTATGCCTAGAACTGGCCCAGCAGCATTCTACCTGCTTTTATCGATGGACAGATCCAAGTCCAGGCCAGAGGCAAGGGGCCTGGGGGAACAAAGGGCACGTCAGTGGGGTAATGACCAAGAACGTGCAGCTATAATCCACTCCCCTCTGTGTCTGCCAGCACACTGTCATTTATTCCTTCCACCGGTCCTATCCAGCGGGCAGTCTCATCACCCTCATTTCACAAATGGGGAAACTGAGCCACAGGGTGGTTCATTAATCGTTCCCAAGGCACGTACAGCTGGTGAGCGGTGGCCTTGGGATTCGAACCCAGGAGGTCTGGCCCCTTCCCTCAGCCCAGAGGCTCTGGCCCCTTCCCTCAGCCCAGAGGTCAGCGGCAGGCCTTGGTCAAGACGGAGAGAACCGCACCCCGCCCACCCCCCGCTGCCACAGTAGCTGTCCACCTGCTGACAGGTCCTTTCTTTTGCTTGAGCAGCCAAAACGCCCCAAACTCGGATGAGCGTTAGGATGGTGCGAGTCCGCCGGCCCCCCAAGGGGAAGCACAAGAAGTTCAAGCACACGCATGACAAGAAGGCGCTGAAGGAGACCCTTGGAGCCTAGAGGCATCTGCAGGAGAGTGCGGGCAGGTGAGGCCCAGGAGGGGAAACTGAGGCCCAGAACCATGTATTTCCGTGGTCTGCGGCTTGGGCTATGGGAAGGGTAGGGCTGCAAGCTCTGATTCTCTCTGCCCAGTCATCAACTGAGTTTTTCCACAGGGCAGGTGGGTGGGGGGCTTTGGAGACCCCAGCCCAGCTGTGTCCCAGCCTGCCCTCAGAGAATGGGTAATCTAAGCCTCACCTGCCCCAACCCCAAGCGCTGCTGGAAATCAGGAACAGCTGGTCAACCCCAGCTCCCCGCCTCTGGCAAGGCGGGCATGTGAGTGTGGCGTGGAGCTCCTAGGCTGTCTCTGACCCCTGCGTCCCTCTGCTTGCCTTACAGGGTTATTTAATATGGTATTTGCTGTATCGCCCCCATGGGGTCCTTGGAGTGATAATATTGTTCCCCTCGTCCGTCCGTCTCGATGCCTGATGCGGACGGCCAATGGTGCTTCCCCCGGCCCTCCACGCAACCTGCCACCCCCCTGCCAGCGGGTCTTCCCTCAGCGGCCTCCAGCGTCTTGCCCGGAAGCTTGAGAAGGAAACAAAGGACCTGGACTCCATTGCTGTCTTCCTCCCCCGGCCCCAAGAATCTGGGATAAGAGCACGGGAGAAACTGATGGGGGAAGGAGCTCCCTCCCTCAGCGCCTGGCCCAAGCCACACCTGAGCACTGTGCACCGGCCCAAGGAACCCTGCACGTGGGCCTGAGGACGTCGGCACAGCCTGCTTGGTCCCTGGACCCAAAGCGAGCTCTGATGGGAGCACCCGCAGGCAAGCCAGGGTGCCTCGTACTCTTGCGGCTGAGAACAGATCGGGGAGCACAGACTGGAGAACCGCCCCCACCCCCCCAGGCCTAGTCACCTCTCCCCGGTCACCTCTGCTCACAGTGGCTTCCTTTTATTTTACACGTATGAAATCTTCGAAGATGTGGACTCCTCCGGGCACGTGTGGCCTGAGCGCCCGGCAGCCAGGTGCCCTCTCAGATGGGTTGGAGGTGAAGTTTGCTCTGGGGGTGGGCATAGATGGTGACCTGGGCGTCCACTGCCTCCTCCTACTTCCCCTTCCACTTCCTCCTGATTCACCTCTACCTCCGCCCTGCATCTTCCTCGTCCCGGCCCTTCAGTCTGCTCCACCAAAGGGACCACCTTTCCTGAGGCTCCCAGTGGCCCTACACACTGCTCCCTAGGGCAGAGGACCAGGGGCTGGGCAGCAGGCGGCCTGTCCATCACGTCCCCGCCCAGCCCAGACTGCCGGGTGAGTGCCGCACAAGGGCACCGCCTGTGGGGGGGGGGGTGCTGTTCACATCACAGATGTGGCCGATTTGTATATTTATTATGACAGTTTTCCGGCAGCTGGAAGTAAAGTGTCTTGAGGAAAGGGATCCTTTTCCTGATTGACACAAAGGCTCTGAGTGGACTAGCTGTGCCCCCGCCACAGTCCCTGGCTTGGAGTGGTGGGACAGGAGCGAGTTCATGGTGGGGAGTGGGGAGGCAGCACATCGTCCATCTGGCCTCCATTTCCCCAAGTCCTCGGCTCAAGCAGCCACCCTTCCAGGCAGGTGTGAAAAACCCAAGAGAAAGTCTCTAAGGGAGGGGGCAGCCCTGGCACCCCCATGCACACCCCCCCATCTTAGATGCTTTTGAGTTCCACCTCTGGGAGCTCCTCCCAGGAAACCAGCTCCTGGGCTGGGAGTGGGGAAGACGGGGAAAGGTCCCCAGGGCCCCCTGGGGGCGGGGTCTGAGCTCCCACCTCCCTTCCCACTTTCCACTGCTCTTTCCCCTCCCCCTCTCCAAAATCTGCTTCCTTCAGTTTGTAAAGTCGGTGATTATATTTTTGGGGGCTTTCCTTTTATTTTTTAAATGTAAAATTTATTTATATTCCGTATTTAAAGTTGTAAAAAAAAATAACCACAAAACCAAACCAAACGAATCCTCCAGAGGTCTGTCTGTTGGCATCGTGCGTGGCAATTACCCTTTCCGCATTGGCAGGATTCGCTGACAGCTTGCCGCGTGTTCCTCTCACTCTAGGAGGCTGAGGCGCACACTCAGGCGCACACGCGCGTGTGTGCACACACAAGCGGGCCCACTGCTCTGGGGGGGCCTCTGTCTGGGGGTGGGTAAGAGCCATATATGGCCCACTCTGCAGGTCTTGGTCCTGCAACAGCTCCTGATACCTGAAACCCTGGTCTCAGCCCTGTGCCTCTCACTGGCAGTGGCCAGAGGTGGCTTTCTCCAGCCTGAGGGTCTCCATGAGAGGAGACCCTCAGCATCGTAGCGTGGGACTGGCTGTGGGGAGGGGCTTCCCACTGCGGGGAAGGCTGGAGGAGGTCCTGGAGGGGCTGTGGGATTTAGAAGGAACACAGCTAAAAGTTGGGTCTACAGTCTGATCTTAGCCAGCTGTGTGGCCTTGGGGAAGTCACAGCCCCGCTGGCCAGAACCTCATCTGGAACATGAGAAGATGACCGGGAGACTTGTGGCCTCTAAGGTCCAGCTGTGGGGTTCTGTGCTTTTCCTTGCCTGTGAAGACTTGGGTAACATTCCATAAAAAAGATTTTAAGCGTGTTCTGGTTCCTACCTGCAGACAGACTGGGGCTGATGAGGAAGCCTAAGAGGAGGAGGATCTAAAACTAAAACCATTTTGCCCTTGGAAGTAGCGAGCTCCTTATCACTGGAAGTGTGGAAGTGTGTGGAAGCTGGGTGACAGCATGGCCGAGGTTAGACTGAATAACATTTGGACTCTCCACGACTGATTGGTTGATGATTAATTGACTTATGCATTCACTTGCTCACCTTCTTGAGCCCCTACCACGTGTCTGTCTCTACGAGGCGCTTTCATAACAATGTGGTTTAAATTCATCCTAAGAGTCCCAGCCCTGTGACTGAGGAAGCTGAGTGCCCCCCACCCCCACCCTACGCCCTGCTCCCGTGAAGTGGTGGGCAGTGCAGGTCAGAGGGGTTTTCCTGGAAACTCCTACCCCTGTGTGTAGGACCCTCTCCTTTCCCCCAGCCCCTAGTGTCCTGGGTTCTCAGGGCACCAGAGAAGGCTCTGGATGGGAGGAGGAGGGGAAAGCTCCACTAGGAGATAATTAGAAGGCAGCTGGAGGGCTCAGTGTACATGTGGCATCTTGGCAGCTGCAAACAGCTGTACTGTTTTATGGACGACTACAGAAGTTTCTCTGTAAGAAACAGGCAGAGCTGACTGCATCTCTTCCCTCCCTGGGGGGCTATCCCAGGCAGCAGCAGTGCAGAGCCCATGGGCCCGATGGGCCCTCTCTAAGTCTTAGAACCACTAAGCTAAAATAGCATTCTTCTAGAAACCTCTCTGCTGCGGAGAAGGCATTCTCTTCTTCATCCCTTTCGCTGCCTTGTTGCTCATAACACAGACATGATGTCCGGCACTCAAGCAGCCACTTTGAGCCATGAGGTAAAAGTCAAATGCTGAGATTAGTGGAGCAAGATGGAGGGGGCAGGGTCCCTGACACCCGACCGCTTAGCTCAGGACTTTTTACATAAGAAAGGGAGAACTTTCTTTCTATTTGAGCTACAGTTCTGTCGGTTATTTTGTCTTTCGTAATTGAACCTAATCCTAATAGCCCTCTTCGCTCTGGGATGAAGATAATATAGTATGACCACGAAGCTGGTCTGCTTATCTTTAACAACCTCTGGGTGTTCAGCATCACGTTATGAACAACTACAAACAGGTTTCTCCTCCACTCATGGCCTGCTCCGATTCCGTCTTCCCTGAAGAGAACTCTCCCCCGGCCCCCCAGCCCCCTGCCCTCCCTCCTCTAAAGCAGCACCGTAGCCCCATATGGAGGCTTAGGATTTGCTGTCTCCATAAAATAACGAAATAAAGAATGTTTACAGCTTATAAAGTAAAATACCTGTGAATTCTTAATACTCACAAGATTGTCTTAAGGAATGGTGGAGAAAGAAGGTGAACGAGGAAGTATTGGCTTAGAGAGATGAAGATCATGCAGCTCCCGATGGGCCAAAGCCTGGCAACATCCTCCTCCGCCGACACCCTATCTGGTGTGTTTCCATTATTTTTTAGGGAACCCCAGAACCCCAACCCCTGGATGTAACCTGGGTTATAGTCTCAATTCAGCAGCCTAGTTAGTGTGACCCCAGGAATGTCACTGCTCCTTCTTGGTCTCGGCCTGGCTGGCCTTGCCCTTTCTCCAGATTTTCGTGCAAGTGACAGCCCACCAAGGGGGTCTGCCCTCTCCAACCTTTCGAAGAGCAGCCCCTGCCCCAGAGCCTCTTCTTACCCTGCTTTATTTATCTCCATAGAATTGATACTCATCGGGCTCACCCCGCATGTACATCTTCCCTTTCTCCCCCGTGGAAGCTCCACATGGAGTTATTTTGTTCACGACTTTATCCCCAGAGCCTAGAAGAGTTCCTGGTACAGAGTAGGTGCTCAATAAATGCCTGTTAAATGAACGAACATACAGGTCTGTTATTGGAGAAATTAAGTATGTCTGCCCCAAGTGGCAGCTTGCCTGGCTGATCTCCATCCCACACGCCACTGTGTGGCTGGAAAATTGCAGAGTCTGAGGATGTCACTAATTATAGCTATTTCGGCTTCTTGGCTAGCTCCACCCTTAGTGCCACATCTTTCTTGATTAGAAGATCCTCGAGGGTTGGGGTCACGTTGAATCCATCTTCTAAGTCTATCCAGCTATCATCCCCCTCCATGTCTACACCTCTCCATCCATCCATCCATCCATCCCAACTACTCATCCATTTATCTCTGTCCATCCATCCATCCCTCCATCTGTCCATCTACCCATCCATCCATCCATTCACCCACTCATCCATCCACCTCCTTCATCTCCTATTTATCACTTTCACCACGTCCCGAGCTCTGTACTTGCCACCTCGTGTCGTCAACTTCTATGAAGCTTGGTGCCACAGTGGGGAGAACATGGGTTTAGCAACAGCACACAGCTCGTTCCTCGCCCCGGCATTGCTACCTCCTGCTGCATGACGTGGCAGAGCTGTTGTGTAGAGTCGTGAGGACCAAGCACTACTCTCGGCATGTACTGCACCCTCGGTCAATGGTAGGGGTTATTGTTTTTCATTCTCAGCACCCAGCAAATGGTTGGTCACAGTACGGTGGAGGGAAGATGGAAACAAATGAAAGAATGAACACAAAATCACAGAGGAATGAAAAGTTCAGCTGCAGCCAACGCAGGCATTTGTATTCCAGGCACTGCCCCATTATTCTACTCAATTAACCTGGCAATCCTTTCAGGCAGATATTATTGTCCTCCTGTTACAGATGAGGAAACAAGGGCTCAGCGAGGTTTAACACCGCCCCCCGCCCCACACCCCCACAGCCCCGCCTGCTCCCTGGTGCATGGTTCTGTAAATGGCTACAGTCCCCGAATCCAGAGCTGTCAGTTGGTATGGCCGTGTTGATAAGTTCCGTTCAATCGATCCATTCGCACACTGTCTCCAGATTTTTGGTGATATACAATAACCAAGTCTTGCTCAGATTTTGGTTTTGGGTTGATATTCAATCCTGCCCCATTCCACTGTGGTCTGAAGACATGGACGGCTGGTGGGACATTGGTGGGGGGCGTCCTTCAGGGGCCCTGTTAATCCAGGACCAGCCTCATAGACAGTGAGGAGAGGCTGTTGTAGCCAGCAAGGGGGCTGGCTGGGAATCGGGGGTTGGGCATCCCCTCAAACCTTCTCATGTGGCTCCATACAAACGCTGAGCCCACACTTTCATAATCAACAGTCTCACTTCCATAGAGCAGAGGTAGCGAAGCTGTGGCATCAGCTGATGACATCGCTCGCCATTCTGCAGGCTCAAATTTTGAGTTTCATTTTTGGCTATGTAGGCTGTGTGGCTGCAAGAATTAAGAGGTACTTTAGCCTACAAGTCCTCAGTTTTTGATCCAGGTCTTGAGCCAAGAATTTAGGACTTAGGAGATTGTCTTCTGCTTCTTCCACTGGCCAGCACGGTGAGAACTAGCTGCCCACACCACAGTCTGATTCCTTGGCCCTTTCATTCTCTGTCGAGTCTGGATTCTCCGTCTCGAAGCCACGCCTTCAAAGGGCTCTTCGCCCTTCTAGGTGATTCCAGAATCTGAATTCTCGTTTCTCTCTCTATGCCATAGGATTCCAGGTCCCAGCCCTTACTACATGCCGGACTTTGACTGTCTCCAGCCCAAGCAGTCCAGATAACCCAACCCAGCCTCTCTGAACTTCCTCTGACATCCATTGCCTGCAACCACTCTTGGCACCGATTTCTATATAAGGCAGCATTCTTAGTCATGGGCATCAGAAACCAACTCTGGTTAACTTAAGCAGAAGAGGATGTTCAAAGAATAGACGTTCAAAAGGGTATTCGAAGAATGTTGGGTGACTCATGAATCATGAGTGAGCTGGAGACCTGGGTTTATGGTACGCAAACAGGATCAATACTCTCAGAGGGCCGTGAGGTCAGCACGGCAAACAACTGCAGGATGCTGCAGCCCCGATGACCAGCACGTCCCACACCTAACACCAGCACTGGGCACTGCTAACCTAGGGGCTCAGCAGAGAGGCCCTCTGCTTCTTTGCCATAGGAGTTCTGTTTTCAAATCTTGGGTTGGCGCATCTGACTGGTGAGCCTCGAAGGCCCCAGCGGGAAGGGTGGCTGTTTCGATTTGGGTTTTTTTTGTTTTTGTTTTTGTTTTTCAGTTTCTATAGCGGGGGCTGGTCCATGGGTTAAAGACCTATGATGTGGGGTTCAGAGAGTAGGTGGGCAAAACCATGGAACAAAACAACAGCCACATGTCTGTCTCCTGCACCACACTTCTTTCATTTCCCCTAGGCTAACTCAGGGTGAGATTACCCGCCCCAGTCTCTATTTGATTGTCAACTTGAGGTCGAAGAACCACAACTATTTCACTGAGTGCTGGGCCGTCAGATCCTTGCACAGTTGCAGGCACATCATGGGCAGCCAGTGTCTTTTGATGACAATATGAATCAGTCCAGGAGGAGGGTGTGGGGAGAGAGGCGCTCACCTCAGGTGCAGAGTTTCAGGGGACATCAGAAACGGTGATCACGATACATATTTTAATCTATCTGTATTTTATATTTGATATATTTCCTCCTCCCTCTTATCCTCCTTTTGCCGATGCCCCGCCCTGGGAGACGGTAAGCTCCGCGGAGTAGAAATGGGAGGACAATAAAAGCCTTTGCCTGTGAATAGGAAAAGCATGAGAAAAGGGGTTGGTAGAAGGAAAAGTGGAGGTGCCAGGGATTGAACCAGGGACCTTGTACATGCGAAGCACATGCTCTACCACTGAGCTACACCCCCAACTCCACTATTTCTTCTAATAAAAATTAATATAAAAATTCTGAAATGAATCCAATGTCAAACCTCAATTAAAGACAAGATCCAACTTTGCACTTGCACGATGCCTCGCTTGCCTCTCCCTAATCTTGGCCCTGTCAGGCCCTTTATTTAAATGAAATATAAATATCTTTATTTAAAATTTTGTGTCCGAGGAGAGTGCTTCACTTTCCTCATCCTAGCCCTGGGCCTGCTGTCCTGGCTC